TGTACACTATTTACATTATTCGGACTATTGTCCTCATCTTTGTTGCCATATTTATCAAAACGTTTCGGTGATCCTTCAGTATCTGTCTATATTTCTGAGATGAGGTATTATGTACACTATTTACATTATTTGGACTATTGTCCTCATCTTTGTTGCCATATTTATTACAACGTTTCGGTGTCCCTCAGCATCTGTCTAATTAAAAAAAAAAGGAACACAACCTTTTAAGGAGAAAACATATTTATAGCATTACTACCAACAATAAACACTTATTATTTACATTATTCGGACTATTGTCCTTATCTCAACGTTTCGGCTGGTGTACACTCCGGCCTTCTTCAGGTGATTGGAATGTCGAACTGAACCCTTCATTTCGCTCACTGGGGTAGACTGTTCTAGTTCCACGTGCCATGTTTTAATGGATGTCAGTTAACAGTTATCTCCTGTTAATTTTCCCTCTGAAAATTTTCCACTGCCTTAATCGGGTATTGAACACACACTCTTTATCTACTGTGCCATGTCTCCTCAAGGACACATAGCACAGTGGATAAAGGCGTTGCTTAGATCCAGTGACAGAACACAAAGAGTGTGAGTTCAATACCTGGTTAAGGCGGTGGAGAACTTGGAGAGGGGAATTAACAGGAGATAACTGATATCCGTTAGACATGGCACGTGGAACTAAAACAGTCTACCCCAGTGAGCGAAATGAAGGGTTCAGTTCGACATTCACACCACCTGAAGAAGACCGGAGCGTACAACGGCCGAAACGTTGTAATAAATATGGTGACAAAGATGAAGACTATAGTCCGAATAATGTAAATAGTGTCCGTTTTTATTTTTAAAATTCTAAAATAGTACTGCGAGGTCCTACTGCATATATATATATATATATATATATATATATATATATTTTAGTTGGATAGATGTGAGTTTGTGACCCTGGGTTTCACGCTTTAGCGAATGTCTGACGATCGCTAAAGCGTGAAACCCAGGGTCACAAACTCACATCTATCCAACCAAATATGTTAGCTCTATCTCTGATATTGTGCGCTTTCTAATAAGTACCGCGCATATAATATATAAATAATTATACATATATATATTTATTTATATTTATATACTCTTTTCACACACACACACACACACACACACACACATATATATATATATATATATATATATATATATATATATATATATATATACTACAGTTCAATAGTCTGAAGACAGTCTCAGAATTAGCATGGGATGAACTTGATACTAGAGTAAAAAGAAAAAAATGAAAAAGAGCTTATATGCGTGTGTGTGTGTGTCTTTCAACGGTCAATTGCGGATGGGGCTAAAGGTGAATCTGAAGCACCCTCAAAATTTTTCAATTGTTTTTATTGCGTTTTAATTTTCCTGTAGACTTCTAGCTTAGGGTAGGTCTTCATACACTTACGACGGAAGCACACATTAATGTAATGGAGGGTCTTTTTTCCGTTTGTCACGGCATCATGTTTCATGGCATTGTGTAAACTTTGGTAATCTATTATAGAAATTTAGGATTTTAAGTAAAATCATTTCGCCTGTATTTGCACTTCATATCTGCGTATTAAATGCAATTAAAGTTAATATTTTTTTGCTTTGACGGCAAACAAAATCATTCAAGACTTATATAAATAAATTTAAATATTTAATATCTTGTAAACTCTATGCAATATGTAGAATTAAAAAGTAAATAAATAAATATAATTTCATATTTTTATTATATATATATATATATATATATATATATATATATATATATATATATATATATATATATATATATATATATATATATATATATATATATATATATATATATATATATATATATATATATATATATATATATTGTTAAGCCCTTGGTAGCTGAGCACTAAAAGAACACTGAAGCTGACAGTGGTTTTCTCCAGGTTCGAATCCTGCCTGAGGACACATTTTCTTTATAATGTTCTTTAGCACGTAGGCCGGTAGATGATACTGCTGAAAAATATCAGAATTCTATTCCAATACTAGTATCTACTAAAAATAATGTCTGAAGCAGGTACCATTAGCAGAAGGCACATCAGACACCTGGATGACTTACTCTAAAGAATACAAAATATAAATATAACAATGTCTATGGGAAGTTTAGACATCAAATCACTATATACCAATATGCACCCCACCAATACGAAAAACCTTAATATATTAAGAAATCACCTCAATAATGCAAGAAAAATCTTCCTCTACCCGTCCACAAAATTATAAATATGTTCATGTTAATTAATAACCAATATTCCATTGTTTCAATATTATTTTCTACAAAGATACGTTTTACAAATGGGGTCTCCTATCAGTGGTGTACTCGTTTACCTCTTTCTAGCATTCTTAAAACCCGCCCCATTTAAACAGCACTATTTACTTGAGATACATAGATAATGTCCCCATACTTTATCCGTAAGATCCAAGCCTATTACATATAATAACAAAAGTCAATAAGGTTGAACCCATCATCGAATTCACTTGAAACAAACAACTCTCTACTTTTTCTCGACATCTTATACGCAACAGTGATAAATTAGATTTTAAAGTTTACCGAAAACCCACAAACAAAAATGACCTAATCAATTTTTACTTCCACATTAACCAGAGAATCTGGGCTGATCATAGCATTTTCACCTTACAACCCTTAGGGTATGTTGCTTTGAATAACTAAATGAAGAAGAGAAATATATTGAGAAAACATTCGAACTTCTTCACAACCCACAACGATTTCATCCTCAACGCTAAAAAAACGAGCTAACAAAATCAATATAGCCAAAAAAAAAAAAAAAAAAAAAAAAATCCGATACTTCCAAAACTTACACAAAATTCATAATCTTGCCATCTCACAACCTTTCAAAAGAATTATCCATTCCTAATGCTAGGATCGTTACCACCTCCTCCAAGCCAATAGTGAATATAATCACGAAGAAAAAAAAAACCAAACACCATTTCAAATAACGGAATTTATCAAATAAACTGTCTACAGTGCAAAAACGTTGAGGTGGGGGGGGATACGTCACGTGATCTAAAAAAAAACCGGCATCTACAAACACGAAAGAGATTTGCGTTTGCGTTTAAACAAACGTTCTCTTTCATCTTACATCAAAATGCCCGCCTAATTAAAAAAAAAAAAAAGAGCACAACCTTTTAAGGAGAAAAAATATTTATAGCATTACTACCAACAATAAACACTCATTATTTACATTATTCGGACTTTTGTCCTCATCTTTGTCGCCATATTTATTACAACGTTTCGGTTGTTGTACGCCCCGGCCTTCTTCAGGTGGTTGGAATGTCGAACTGAACCCTTTATTTCGCTCACTGGGGTAGCCTGTTCTATTTCCACGTGCCATGTTTTTAATGGGTGTCAGTTATCAGTTATCTCCTGTTAATTTCCCTCTGAAAGCTCTCCACTGCCTTAACAGGGTATTGAACCCACACTTTTGTGTCCTGTCACTGGATCTAACCTTTATTCACTGTGCCATGTGTCCTTGAGTACAACGGCCGAAACGTTGTAATAAATAGGCGGGAAAACATATGGACAATAGTCCCAATAATATAAATAATGTACATGTGTTTATACTTGTCTATATTTCTGAGATGAAGTATTAACCTCATCTCAGAAATATAGACAGATATAAACACTCACTTAAAACATTACATCACATCGCCATCTTTCTACAAATCCATTATTCATGAATGTAACTTATGTCTAACACATAAAATAATGCAAATATATAAATCCTTAAAAAATGATAAATGCTTTAATTATAAATCTAACCAAAACATGATTATTACAATGTTTCACCGACCCACACAGAAGTGATGGCAACAACCATTCCCCACACACACAGACACGAGAATATATAAATCTAACCAAATATTGCTACATTTCACCGACACATATGAGGGTGACATCTATAGACATTCCTCACACATACACTTATACACATACATGAATTAACGTTACTGTCCAACATACACCTAATAAGAGTATCTTTACATACACACTCATGCACTATTACACACCTTAACGCCCAAAATATTCCTCACACTTATTTACATATTATCTATTGTGTTAATACACGTGACACGTATCTGACCAATAAGAACAAGGGAAAAATCATAACATACCAGAAACCCGTCTCTTTGTTTTTTTTTTGTTTTTTTCATTTCTATCTCGGTCTGTGATTTAATAAAAGTGGGACATGTTAGATTGAGATATGTTTCGTACTTGTTCTTTATATATATATATATATATATATATATATATATATATATTAAGCATTATGCCCCGAGCAAGGCGTGAAGCCACTAGGATGCAGGAGGTTGCAGAAGATTTGGAGCAAGAGCAGATAGGAGTGATAGAAGAAAGGATAAGGAGAAGGATAGTGGGTAGATCAAGACAACTGGAGATGTCGATTGACATTACATTTGAATAGTTGGAGATTATAGCTCCCAGGGAAACAGTAATTGGGAAGGGTGTTCCACAGGTGAGAATGTGCGAGGTATGAAGCTATTGGAGTAGAAGAGACGGCTACATTTAAAAGTTTCTACAGTGTAAGGGTGGGGAGCAGGATGCCAGCCTCGTAGGGCGCTTTGAATTCGTGGAGTCTCGAACCAGTGAAAGCAGCTCATCGGACAATTACCATGAAAGTATTTGTAGAAAAGACAGAGAGGGCGACGGCGCGTCTGTGAGAGAGTGACTGCAGACGAGACGCCAGATCACGGCCAATTATATTACATATCCGTCTCTGGATCTTGTCAAGAACGCCGAGGTAAACAGAAGGTGCTCCAGACCATACATGGCAGCAATACTCCATGCAAGGGCGAATGGTTGATTTGTATATTTTAAGTATATATATATATATATATATGTGTGTGTGTGTGTGTGTGTGTGTCTGCGTGTGTGTGTGTCTGTGTGTGTGTGTATGTGTGTGTCTAACAGAGAGAGAGAGATAGAGAGAGAGGGGGGGAGGAGGGGAGCAATAGAAAGTGACATAGGGTCAGAATATCAACATAACAATAGACTGTTAATTTGAAATCAAATCCGATAGGCCGTGCAAAGATGTGATTGACACGAACTGCAATACACTTGTTTGACCATTTCCGTTAACTCTGTACGTCATTATCTTGTCAGCCGGAAGACATTTTGGAACAATGACGGGTGTTTCCGGTTAGATTTTAGAAAACCTTTATGAGAAAAGAAAGTTTCAGCGTGAATCTCCACACATAAGGCAAATGTCTACGGATACATTTCTACTTGAACAACGCCGTCCTCTTCACGTACAAAATCATTGCTGGTGTAGAGAAATTCTTTTGGAAGCCGATATTCATATGCTAGATATGGGAATGACCATTTCCAGTGGCGCCACACGACATGATAACCATCTGAAAGCAGCAATAGATGTTTTATAAGCTCAACATTGACTAACATAAGATTACAAGAATGTCACTGGTAATGATGAGAATAGCATTCAGCGTTCATTGACCAAACAATTGGAGTTACTGTCGATTAAAATGTTTAAAATCTTTCGCTTCAAACAGGCTTTTATGGAAATGGGCTCCCCAAACCCACTGCTATATTTATTTCTTTATTTCCATCTACCAGTCTGAATATTCGAGAAATCTTCTTAGTAAAAACATGCGTCCTTTGGCAGGATTAGAACCCGCGTACTCTAGGGGAAACCGTCATTCAGTCTGATGGTGCCTTCACCAACAAAGCCCGAATAGTGGTTTTGAACAAAGACTTTTCCAGATTCTCGAAATATGCATCTCTGCTCTGTTTGGTATCCTAGCGTAAACAAAGACAATGTTTAGGAATTAATGTTTCATTTAATAATCCGATACATTTTAATTTATTGCTTAAATATTATTCGGGTATGCATTAAAAATAACGTTTAGCAATAAAATAATATATATATATATATATATATATATATATATATATATATATATATATATATAAAGCGAGAGAGAGAGATTTGTGTGTAAAGAGACGATCTGATGAGTTAAGATCGAACTCTTAACGAAATAAATACCACAATGGTCTTTTAAGAGTTCCTTTTCTTTATATATATATATATATATATATATATATATATATATATATATATATATATATATATATATATAGTAAAGTAAAATAAATCCGTGGTATATAATCTCAGTGGATCCTAATAATATAAAAAAATATTAAAACTGATCAAACTGAGGTAAAAGATTTTTGGATTATACATTAATATATATATGGAGAGAGGGAGGAGATTTGTGTGTAAGGAGACGATCTGATGAGTTGAGATCTTAACGAAATAAATACCACCGTGGTCATTTAAGAGTTCTTTTTCTTTATAATAATATTATATATATATATATATATATATATATATATATATATATATATATATATAGTAAAGCAAAATAAATCCGTGGGTATATAATCCGAGTAGATTATAGTAATATAAAAATATTAAAACTGATCAAACTGAGGTAAAAAAGATTTTTTTGATTATTCATTTATATATATACATATATATTATTTTATGATAAGATATTAGAACAAAAACATGTTGAAATCGCTACATAATAGCTTCCGTGTTTCGGCACTATGTTGTGTCTCTTCAGGCGATGGTAAGTGACTGGTGATTAAATAATTTTAAAGAAAATTTAAAAAGCAAAGTGTTACCTCTTTTCCGGAAGATAAAAGCTGCGGTGAGAAAACACAAGGTCAAAATTAAAAGAGACTTGTAGGTTTTTCTTGATCAATCAGTTAAATGTCAGCCCTAAGCTAAATAGAAAATTAGATGGTAGACCGTTATTCACTTATATAATTATGGCCATAAGAAATGGTACTACCTAATTTTTAAAATTTAACTATATTGTAAGGTAAAAGATATACTTTTTTGGCAATTTACAGTTTATTCACTTCTTTAGTTTAGCAGAGATTTTTTGTGAACAAATCGGATTTATAATTTTTCATGTAGGCATAAGAAACCAGGATCATTTAAAGATTTACAGATTATAGCATTTTTGCTAGTATTTTCCATTTTACCGTAGAGGTTTTACTAGCTTCTTTTAAGTTCCAAAAATATTTAAAAAGGGACGTCATATTTTTATAAGCGTTATTGGTGAAAGATAATATATGTTGATACCACCTAATTTTAAACGAATTCTTGGTACTCCAATATAATTTTTTTAATTGTTGGATTTTCTATTGTAGAAATAGTGCTTCGGTAAACAAGAGAGTCAGTTTGATATTGGTTTTGGAATGGGCATTCGGTCGAGTTTCTACAATTACACTGGTTGGTATTATCGTTGTTTGTTGCTTGGAATGGCTATTATTACTCATTTTTGTGTTGGTTTAAAATTTTATATTATGTTTTTAATAACTTTTTCAGGATTATCTGTACAGTTATAGCTTAGTTTTATTGTATTTCTGTTAAAATTTTACTGAGTAGATTATTTCTGGGGAAGTGTTTATCAATTAAATGAAGGAAATTCTACCCTTAGTCCTAAGCATTTGGTTAAACGGGGGTGTGTACCAAATGATTTTCTTATTTCTAATCCTAATCCTAGGCTGGATGTTGTTTTATATATTTGATGTCAGGGCACTTATAGCCACTATTTTTATGGCAGTGTTGTAAACTTTACTATGCTTGTAAAAGACATCTTCGCTGGAAGAGCTACCAATCCTATCTTCTAAAGAGGGTATGGAATACGAATGTGATTCGCTACAATGTGCCTGGCATGGTGGATCTTAGCTGTGAAGGTTATAACTAGAGGAATGACAATAGATTAGTAAGAGATTTGCAACGTTTTGTCTGTGGGGAAAGGGGATGTAAGGGGAGAAACAATTCACCGCCCGCAGGGTTTCTTAGATGCTTTTATACCCTATTGAAACTGGTCAGCTCCTGCCAATCTATGGCAGCATTACTTCATTCACGGCATGACCTGGATCTTGTAAAGATAGAAGATTAGATCTGAATTTTGTAAAGGCAGACGATAACAAGAGTCAGGTACTTACTGGAGCGGTACTTGGAACTGACCATTTGTGCCGCATCTTTTTATGAATAGTACGTACGGGTACCACTTGATGTCTACGGTGAGCTCCAAATCTCAATAAGTCTAGTGCAGTAGGCTAATTGCCCATCCCACCATATGAATCTGTGGAAGGCCTCCGTCCTACAAAGGACCTTAACCGCCTGAGAAGAAGAGATCTGATAATACAGTTGACTGTACCGCGTTCAAAATAAAATAAATACCTGTGTTTACATATGCTTGAGTCAGTTGACACACTATTCCTCTGAACACACTAATTTTTCGAACAATATATCTCTGATAGTACGTGGTCTTCCCTTATAATATAACATATTTTAGATATTATATTTCCATACATATCTATCTAGAAGCACTATAATAACAATAATAATAATAATAATAATAATAATAATAATATATATATATATATATATATATATATATATATATATATATATATATATATATATATATACGGGGAAAAAGTAATTAATATCAAAGATAGAACATTTGTAGAGATAAAATGTATAGGAATAAGCGCTTCATACTGACAGTTATTTTCCCACCTCAGGCGACCGTCAGATTACGTGTTGCATATCTATCTATCTATCTATCTATCTATCTATCTATCTATCTATCTATCTATCTTTCTCATTCTGTTCATAACTATATCATTCTGTTCATAACTATCTCATTCTGTTTATATCTATCTATCTATCTATCTATCTATCTATCTATCTATCTATCTATCTATCTATCTATCTGCGTGTGTGTGTGTGTGTGTGTGTGTGTGTGTGTGTGTGTGTGTGTGTGTGTGTGTGTGTGTGTTACTGTGTGTGTGTAATTTACTTTTGGAGTCTGTACTTTCTGTGTGTGTGTGTTTTACGTGAACATCTTTTCATATCATAATCCTAACGTTCAATAAAATCCTGAACTATAACTGCAAGAAATACTATATATCTTTATTTTAAAAGCTAACTATTAATTTCTTTATTAATTTCAAATTCTGTTTTTTTTTAATAAAGTTGATCACATATTAAAATGCTTGATATTCAGGTCGTGTCAACCTCACGCGGTAACATTGGCATCGACTGTTTTTAATTAAGAACATTTTAATTGAAATAACTTTTCTCGATACTTTTTTTTTTCCTTTACTGAACATTTACAAATTTTTATTTATTTATTTATTTTTGTTGCATTTCGCTGCAATCATTTGTGGTTAAGAAATATAACTTTAAAACCTGGAGGCATTGTGTTGAATTGACGCAAAATGCTGAGTTGTTGTTCTGACAGCATACAACTTGTTATGCTATGTAATACGATGCATGTTGAAATAATTTTTTGCCTTTTATTTATTTGCTTACTGCCCGATTTTTTTCTTTGCGGTGATGTACTTTTATTTATTTATTTTTGCAGGAAAAATCTATCGGGTTTCTAAATACAGGGAGTTTTGTTTTACTTTATATTTGCAAAACAGGATGATGGTCGTATTAAAATAAAAAAAAAAACCAAAAAAAAAAAACCGTCAAGGCAAAGAAAAATTTTACCGATGAGCACATCGTGACACAAGAAATAAACTCTTCGCTCTATGCTTACTTCCGCCATTTTGATTTTAATCTTTTTTTAATTCCTTTTCACGTCATTCGCTTTGCTTAAGTTTTTAAAAAATTCTGATCGAATTATTGCTCTTTTTATCTTAGTGCTTATTTACTTTGGTTTTTGTGGGTTTATAGAATTACAGTTTGGCTTCTTTTTCTTTTATCATTGGAAATAAAAAGCAAGTAACTATTTTTAAAAAAATAATAAATATCCAAGACTTATCTTTGGTTTTTAAGGAAAATGAACCAAACAATATATTACTTCACGGCTTCTAACAATATTAACTCAGTTCATCTAATTAAAAAAAAACTAAAAAAAAAAAAAAAACAACTACATAGCTTCATTACACTGTAAGAAAAAAAACAACTACATTCCGGAAGTTTGAGGTTGTAAACTGAGAGATCAATCAATGTCTTTTCAGTTCATATTTTCATTTCGTTTTCATTACGAAAGCGTTTTATATACTAAATTTATTTTCCTATTTTCTGGACTGTTTTAAAATACAGCCCCCGCTTTTTTTTCTCTTTTTTGTTGTTTCGTTAATATCTTAGCCACTTGTAAAATACAAGTCTTCCTTTTTTGGTGTTAATGAAATCCTGTACGGTTGTAGAATACAATATTTTTCTCTTATTAAATATTCGACAAATATAAGCCCCAAGAGCCACTCAAAATATAGACTTAAGAAATGAGGTTGTTATATGAACGTAGGGGGAGAAACGGGGAAGTTTATTTTGGTTTGGTTTGGTTTATTTTGTTTTACGGCATATCAACACATCAATGGGTTATTTAATGCCGACAACATTTTTATTGCTGGTAATATTTTGTTTTTTTCAAAAATCTGTTTCTGGTAATATTTTTCTTTCAAAATTGTATAGATGGTAATAATTAACTACTTGCCCATAGCTGGGACCCTAACAGGTGTTACCACCCCGGGTGAGGGTGGACCTGGGAACACCAGCAATTAAGAGGGGGTTCCACGCTCATCGAAACTTCTTGATTAGAGGCCTTGCTACTGGACGTAGTTTATCGTCTTACCCAGGACACGGATGTAGTTTAACATCTTCCCCAGGACGGAAACGGAGAAGTAAGCGAAGATTATGAAGGTGCGTACGATAGGCAACGGTTTACCCTAAACTTGAAGAGATTGACATTTTAGTGTTTTTGCGATGTAAGCACTAAGGAGTCTATTCTAAATAGGAGCGGTTCTTGGAAAAGAGCTCTCCAAATGTAACTTCCTTCTAACTAATGCATTACGGACGGAATGAGAATGATTTGCTCCTGTGTCATGGCGTGTTTTAGCTGTAGGTATTTGAACTAGTGTAATTAAAGAATGTAGCGCATCGTTTGAATTATCACCTCGTCATCTTTTGGTCTTTCCACACAAGAGCGACTGCTAATATTCGACGTCATTTTTCGCATCTTATATTTTGTTACATTTAAACAAATTATGACCACAGCGCCACAGAACTTTCCTGTTGCCTCTCAGGTGTCCACTACAGACGATGTTAACCATTCGGATGAAGAGTTATTAACTTCAGTAAGCGAATGTCAAACGTATGCTGATTTAAAATACAGCGATATACAAATCAAAGAGGAAATTAGATATCAAATATTTTTATTTGATATCTAATTTCCTGGTACTTAATATTGCGATCCTTTTATATCTGAATTCTCCAAAGAGACCTCAGTTGACGTGGATGCGTGTTGTAGAATTCGTGATTTACAATACGATGATGTTACTGTTTGACAGTGACTTACATTTAGTAGATTGTGTTACTGTTTCCGATACACCTAGTGCTATACTTACTGCTAATATTTTTAAAAGAGAGGTTATTCTTGACACTTTAACAAATACAGTAGCTTATCAGGACATTTTTCATGGAAATAGCGATAGGTTTGCCAACAATTCTAAAAGAAAAACAAATAAAACGTAATGGTTTGAAAATTGAATGCCTTTCACGATCTTTATATATCTGGAAACTGATACATTATGATCAACTAGAAAACTGCAACGTTATTATATATATATATATATATATATATATATATATATATATATATATATTTGAATTTGAAGGTCTGATGAATTGGATCGTATTTACGATTCCAATGGAATAAATTATGACCATGGAATATTAGTGTTTAAGCCTTTTTATTATATATATATATATATATATATATATATATATATATATATATATATATATATATATATATAAACGCATTTGGTGTTGTTTTTTTTTTTTAACACCGACTATGACTATTTATAAGTAGTGGAAAATGTTTGAATATTTTTAATTATTGCGTGGTATGAAAGAGTGGTTCACATGCTAATCTCACAGTTCATTTCTTCTTCTTCTTCTTCTTCTTCTTCTTCTTCTTCTTCTTCTTCTCTTTTCCTCCTCTTTCTCCTCCTCCATCTTCTTCTCTTCCTCCACCCCATATATCTGCCTTTCTCCTTCATTTTTTCCTCCTCCTACCCTTCTTCTTCTTCTTCTTCTTCTTCTTCTTCTTCTCATACTTCTACTTCTTTTCCTCCTCTTTCTCCTCTTTCATTATCATCTTTTTCTTCTTCCTCTTTTCATACTCTTTTCCTCCTCCTCCTCCTTCTTCTGCTCCTCCTCCTCATACTTCTGCCTTTCTCCTTCACTTTCTTCTCCTCTCCTCCGCCCTTCTTCTTCACATATTTCTGCCTCTTTTCCTCCTCTTTCTCCTCCTCCACCCGCTTTTTCTTCTCTTCCTCATACTTCTGCCTCTTTTCCTCCTCTTTCTTCTACTCCGTCTTCTTCTTCCTCCTCTAG